TAGTACTCCTATCATAACTGCAGCACTAACAAGTCCATGAGGATAGAAAAGGAACCATGCTAGTCTCCCAAAAAAGAGAGCATAATAATAGCAATGAAGCCAGCTATTTTTTCTGGACACTATGTTTTAGACACCATGCTAAGTTCTTTACAGGCAGAATCTTATTTAATTCTCCCAAGACCTCCAAGACGGTGATATTACATCAGTCTTCACTTTGTAGATAAGAAACTAAGGCACACAGAAATTAAGTAATTTGCTCAAGGTTACACAGCTAGTAAGTGGTTAAATTCAATCACAGACTCAGAACTGTGTTGTCAATCAATATATCTTTAGTCACCTATATCACAACAGGCACTATCTCCTATTTTAATACCCGAATCATTCCCCATAAGAAATACACATTATATTTCAGTGGGCATACATAATAAACATGCTGAGCCTTCTACCTTCTGTCAACCATTCTTTTCCAAATGAACTTTCATGAAAACAGTGCTGAGAAAGAGAGTGGTCCTAGATAGGCCGCTGTATACAAATATCTATACAAATAAAGACAGAAAATGATCTCTCTGTTTTCCAACCACAGCCAAAAGCCATGGAGTTATCACTGAACTCCTCTAAAGAATTTTGGGACTCCCTCTACTGGGGACCTGTGGCCAAGATCCTCAACTGCTTGACTGAGTGTTAAGGCAAAAGGATAATATTAGAGACAGACAACTTAGTAATTTGTAAAGCAGGGCTGGGAGGTCAGTGCTTCAGGATGAGCAGTGACCAAGCTAGCCACTTTCCAGCTAGCCACTCTGTTATTAACCAGAGAGGAGTGTGGAGATGAGTGATTTCAGGAACAGTAACGGTGCCCTGGGCTAGAAAGAAGAACAAAGCATTCTTGCAAGGCAGAACAGTGCGGGGCTGGGAGGGGTGTGTAATAAGGAAACTAGTTTGTACTGGTGAAAGTTTTTACTTGGCTGCCACATTGCTTTAAAGACCCTTACTGCCCTTAGCTGGTATTATTTTGCACTGTAAACATCATAGTATCGCTTAGGGTGTCAACAGTGACCAGAAATGGGGAGGGGTTTCCTCATTCCAGTCTGATTCAAAGAGCAGATTCCTTTTACCCCCCCCCCAGACTAAATTTATAAACTGTGGTCCCCAACTTGCAGTACTGCAGAACGTGGGTTCTAGGACAGGAAAGTGAGATTGTGAACTAAATATCCTGTTCTGACCCCCAGAGAGGGAAAAGCATGCTCCCCAAGAAGCTGACATGTGACAAAGTGATCCAGCAGCATACCAGGGTGGGAGTGAAGGATGGACTGCTTGCTTTGTAGGAGGCTTGAACAAAAGTGAACAGGAAGTAGAGCCCCCTGCAGGAGGACTGGGCAACCTCTGAGGACCGGAGTGGCAGGGAGGAAAGTTGGCTGTGGCAGCCCCACTCTATTTCCCAGGCTGCTCTCTGGAATGCATGCAAGAAGGCTGAGTGAATTACACCGGCCCCACCTCCCAAGGCTCTCTCTGCAGCTGCTGGACTGGACATAAAAGCGTGAGACAGAGATACTGTCTCTACTAATTCGCTCCTCACTCTGGTTCTCATTACTGAGAAGCCATGCATGACAAAAGCCAGGGCAGGGGCCCCGCACTGCTGTCTGCATTTTCCAGGTAAGCAATTGTTTGTTCCTCTCATCTCCAAGCCAGAGGTAAAGATTAAGGCTTGACAGCAGTGGACAGAAAAAGGAGTGGGAAGTGGTGGCTCTGAGGTGGACTTAGCATAATCTGGAAGGAATGGAGAGAGTGTCAGGGGCCTAGAGCTGGGACAATACGAAGTGTTTACATGTGAGGTTGGGGAGCTAGAGGCTGCATGGGTCTGATGCTGGCTGGTGGATGAGGGGAAAGTTCCAGGAAACGGCTGTGCACCAGGTGCCAGGTGACCACACATGTGAAGAGCAAAGGGGCAGGCACACAGTGGCATCAGTGTTCCTCTTCCTGACCAGGAGTATTTGTACAGACTTTTCCAGAAAATCCCATCCTGGGCTCCTGCTCTCCTCCTGGTCTTCTTGATGGTTGAGAGATTGTTGAGCCTTGGGATCTACGGAGGGAGAAAGCAGGACACACACGTGACTGGGGGTCTGGTGTGAGTCAGAAGAGGGAAGCCCTTATCTGAAAGGCAGTGTCCTGTCAGGCTCCTGAGAAGGTGTTAGCTGGTGGGTGGTGTGTACTGCCCTGAGGAGGCTCACCTGTGGCCCAGAGGAAGGGAACAACGGTCACACTGCAGAGATGAGTGCATGTTCTGGACATAGAGTGGGGAAAGCATGAAGTAAGATATCTGAAGAACGGTTCTATGACAGCTAGTGTCCTGTCACAGAAATAGGAAGTGACCTCAGAAATCTGTTTCAGACAAATCCAGCATCTCATTGCTGCCTCCTCTAGGGACCACAGCCCGACTGCGACACATGGAGTAAGTCATAGGAAGCTTGTCAGTTGTGCGTCCCTCACATACATACAGACGGAGAGACATCTGCTCCCCAAGATTGACTATGCTGAAAATACATCACACCGCAGTATGTTGCAAGGACAGAGCATCACGGTAAAAGGAGTGATCCCTCAGTGTTCCCCCAAGGGAACATGAGACGTTAAACCCAGTCAGGACAGCAGAGTGTCCTCCCTCTAGCTACAGCTGTCCTACTGGAAGTTGAAAGTGAGGGCATCTCCCATAACTCTTCCTCCACACACAAAGGAACTGGGTGACAAGCCAGTGGGGAATGGCCATGGGACGCGATGGGAATATGGGCATCACACGCAAGTACAAAGAGGCGCTTCTTATGCCTGCTAAGACAGCAGTGAAGTGTTGGGGCAGAGAGAAGGAGCTTGTAGAAGAGAGCTACTACCCAGTGACTCACACTCCTGATCATCCCGGCAGTGGAGTCCGCAGCCTGCGTCCTGCTGACAGTCAGCCCTGGCCTCTTTCCCACCAAGGGCGCTCTGGGTCAATGACAGCAGGGAGGAGCCCAGCAGTGAGGCCCTGCAGCCAAAGTTCCTTGGCCCAGAAAACATCAAGGCTTTTGGTGCCTGCAGAGAGGAGTGGTTCTTCCCCTCAGGATGCTGTGGCTGCTCTTGAGTCAAGCTCAGGGTGGGGCCTCAAATTAGAGGCCACAGCTGGAAGACAGTAGGTGGGGCTGGGATCAGGCAGCTTTGAAATTACAGGGATGCCCCAGGGCGTGTGAGCTGTGTGGTCTTGGGCAGGCAAGTAATCTTTGCACTGATCTGTAAAATGGAAATAATAATAATAATAATGATAATAATAATAATAATGATAATGACTTCTGTCATAAAGGTGCTGGAAGGAATAAATGAAAGTATGTTTGTGACGTGCCCACCCTAATGCCTGGTTTATAGTATGTGCCTGGAAAGAAACAGAACTCTTCCTAAGCCCCATCCAGATTCTCAGATGGCTCCTTCCAGACCAGAGAAGCCCGAGGCAGTCTGTTGCTCAGTCTGGCAACGCTTGTAAAATATGTCACTCACACAATCCTTATTAACCAACCTCACAGCAGGCTCCCTGTGTCTTCAAACTCAAATAAAATCAGTTTGAAAATAAACACTAGATGGCTCCTGTGTCTTGCATCTTGATGCAAAACCTCAAGTTTGTGCTTCTCAAATTAGGAAAGACGCCCCACAGTGGGCACATTGGGGTTCACCAGGAGGATATGATGCCATGGGCACATAGGGTTTATGTGGGGTAAAGATGAAATATTTCAGCCAAAGGTAACTTACACTATGTTTTATTAAAACAAACATGCTATGGAATATAAATTCTACTGGATGTGTAAAATGAAGCATTATTTCAAAGACAACTCAAGCTCCCAATGGGTGGCCCCTTCTCTGGGGTTCCTGTGTGCACCCCCTCTCTGGCAGTTTACAAGCTCTCTCCTGCAAAGACCTGAGGAGCTGAGCACAGGCATGGAGAGGCAGCTGGGATCTTCTTGAGGACCCAGTAAGTGTCTCCCTCACTCATGCTCATACTCTCAGAAGTATTCCTTGTTTTCAAAAGAGGTGGTCTACACAGGCTGGGCAGCAGGTCCAGCTGACAAGGTCACCGCACTCTCCTCAGGGACAGCAGGAGCTAGCTCGGTTTTCAGCCTCTTGTCTGGAGGACACTGTGAGAGCACCTGAGGGCTCCAGAGCTTGCTGCCTGCTGTCACATCTAGCCTCCTCGTGCTAACAAAAGACCCATGAGCCAAGACTGGGAGTGTGAGCACGCTGGACAGGGCAGGGCACAGCTGGTCCCCACTAAAGTCTGCCATCTCTGGCCCTCCTCTACAGCATGGTCTTCTGGGCTTCTAGCAAATGTGAAGAAGGACAACTGTGGCATTTTCAGCAGGGTGCAGCTCCTTCTCCCCACAATACATCTGGCACGGATACTAGTTTTGGAAACAAGGTGGTAGTAAGCACTGGTTCCATCGATCATGTAAGTGATTAAGTACATTCTTTGTGGTTTCCTCTTTACACCTTCCCTTTTGCAGGTACCCTAAGCCAAGGCCAAGGCTCTTCCTCAAAGGGGGCAGGCAATGAAGGGCCTGCACCTCATGTCACAAGTGGACTTCCACAACAGGTGGGGCAAGGTGTCGCTCAGCAGCTTGACTCAAGACACACAGATGCTGCGCAAGGACTTAGAGAGAGAGGGAGAGGATACAGGGGATGAAGTGGACATGAGGTAGCTGTGCCACTCACCAAGAACTGCTAACAATCCAGACTTGCAGTGGCAGCCTCCATTCTGCAAGAAGGAAGAGAAATTCTCAGACTTCCTTAGTGCTGGGGGCCTGGGGCAGAAGCCTATGGGGATGTTTAAGAAAAAAACCTAGTGGGGAGAGGGAGGGCTCCCTGGAAGCAGGCTCTGGGTGCCCTTCCAGGCAGCCTCTCATACAAGTTGTTACACTGCACACAAACTCCTAGGAAATTCACTACCTGCAGGTGGTCATGGAGACCAGAAGGCAAACAGGACACAGCCTTGGATGGCCCATCGAGCTTTCTCGTCCCTGTGCGCAGAAAGGTGTGCCCACATTCCCAGACAGCTCCTATTTAGAGTGCTTGCCCAGGCTGGGCATAGCTGGGCCCTCCCCACGCGGAAGACACCCGTGGCTCAGAGTTCGGCCACTCCAGCCAGCCTGGCAGCAGTGTTGGCAAAAGCGCCGAACAGCAAAAAAAAGGGGCAGCACGGGGCAGATGCCCCAGAGGGCGGGCAGGCTGAGGCATGCGTACCAGTGCCTGCAGGAAGGGCGGGCCTTCCAGAAGGCCGGCAGGCTTCCAGGGCGCTGCGAAGCGCGGGGTTTGGGTGCTGTGCGTAAAGGCCTGCTCCCACCGCGAAACACTGCAGCCACGCCGGCGCCTGCACACCTGCCAGCAGCCCTACAGGTGCCCTTTCTGCGACAAGGCCTACATCTGGTGCTCGGGTCACCAGAAGCACAGCTGAAGCCCTACAGTTACGCAGACTGCAGCCAGGCCTTTGTGGGCTTCTCCGAGCCACGCAAACAGCAGCGCAACATGCACAGCAACAACAAACTTTTCCTGTACAACGAGTGCTGTACACCCTGACCTCCAACAAGCCGCTGTCCCTACTGTGCCATCAGCGCACGCATCTAAGTGCAAAGCCCTTAGGGCTGGGGATTTAGCTCAGCGGCATAAGCGCCTGCCTTGCAAACAGGTGGTCATGATTTCGATCCCCTGTACTGATTAAAAAAAACAAAACAAACAAACAAAAAAAAACATTGGTTGCAAAGCCCTTCCGCTGCCCAGCCTGTGACCGCGAGTTCGTAGTGGTCAGTCTCATTGTGGAGCACCAGCGCGTGCACTTGAGCGAGAGGCCCTTCCCCTGCCCCATCTGCGGCAAATCCTCACCAAATCCTCCAACCTGTACGAACACCGGACGCTGCTCACGGGCCAGTGTGCTGACTGCAGAGTGGCCTTCGCGCAGCCCTCACGCCTTGTGCACCACCAGCGCATCCACACTGGCAAGAGGCCCTGTCCTTGCCCTCAGTGTGGCCAGACCTTTACAGATGCCTCCACCTTGAAGCGGCACTGACAGATCGATTTGGGGAAAAGGGCTTCCTCTGCGCGAGTGTGGGGGGGCATTCCGCATCGCCTGGAAGCTGACCCAGCACACCAGGATGCACAGTGGGTAGGGACCAGATGAGTGTGAGGACTGCAGGCAGGCCTTCAACGGGTCCAATCACCTCCAGCGACAACACACCAAGCACGACACCTGCAAGGAGCTCATCCCTTTCTCCTCTGACAACTGAGGGCCTGGCCTGCTGATCCTAGGGGACAAAGACACTGGATCTCAGTGGTTGAAATCCCCACATAGATACACTCCTGTGTTCTGTCAGCCAGCCTGACTGATTAACCTCTCCTCCCAGAGGCGATTGCTGGTCCATCTGCTTTATGAATTTGATCTTTTCTTACAGAAATAAATGCAAGGATAGTACCCAGGTGTGATTTCACCCATCTTCTGTAACTCACAATTGGAAAAGAGTAAGATAAAGGAGTAGGAGCTTGTGCATAGTTGAGTTCAGGGAACCCTAATCAACCAGAAATTGTTTATAGCGTTACATTTTGGACTCTGCACAAGGCTCTAGGGGTTCTGTGGGGGAAAAGTGGTCTTGTCCTGCCTTCATACTGAGAAGGTATTAGAGAAAGGCACTTTTCGGTTTTCACCATAAAACCATAAATAAAGACATTTCCAGAAATGGTCTGTGGAATGAGCTCCTCCAAGGACCAAAGTCAACCCACGGGTTAAATCCGAGCCAGCCAAACATAACTACCATCACTTCCTTTGCCTGCTGAAATTTCTTGCCCTTGAAGAATTGTCTCTATGAGGCTTCGCTTTGAAGTTGAGAAGGCCTTCACCTTACAGAAAGGGCAAGAGGCACTTTGTCCTGTATTTAGAAACCAGCTATTTCACAAGTTCAAAACAGGCTCCATCTGAAAAAGAAGCCCATTCCTCTTCACAGTGAGACTTCTCATCTGAGTCTCACTGTGTCTCTTCTCTGGCTGCCTCTTTTCATGTTTGTGCTCTGAGAGCTTAAGTCACATGTAACATAATTAGCCCACTTTGAGAGAAGCATGTAGGATTCCTCCAGATATGTCTATGGTTCATGAATCTTTTGTGTTCATTTAAATTTGCCTGGATCATTAGCTCTGATTTGAAAGAAATAAAAACCCTTTTCCTAAGTGCCAATTAAGTTGCCTGTGTTTGTTTCAAAGTCATTAAAAGCAAGTATGAAAGTCTATGTGTTTCACCATTACCCTGTAATGATATTAGTCAAAATTTTCAGCCCTAACAGTTATGCTTCAAAGTGAATTGATAAATACATTGATTTTTGTGAAGTCAGTAGTTCTTAGCTCTAGACCTCAACTGTGAGGATTCTATGATTTCACAGACATTCTTTGGTACACACAGGCAAATGATACTTTTAACTTTCTAAAGTTAAGTAAGATATCCCACAAAAAAGGTTATAATGGGTTCTTTTGGAGGAGCATTTTAGTATATTTCTAAAATTGCCACGGAAATATGCCAAATCTGAATTTCTCTTGGATTCCACCTGATTTGGAGGTGTGACTGCTAAATAGCACTCTTGTGCTATGTGGGCACCAAGCAGATGCATATATATATATATATATATATATATATATATATATATATATCTCCACGCCTTGTTAGGCAAAGTCAACCTTAATAAAAGGGCTTTGGCTACAAGCCTGAAGGATGTGTGGATTAATACCTGAAATACATCTGCATGTTCAAATGGCAGAACTATCCTAATCTGTTCTTGGGTACCAGTGATATGACCATGAACTTAACTTTCTGTATCTGTATTGGTGAACAGGAATAATAATAATAGGTTACAAAGGTTGAAGCTGTCCTAATAGCTGACGAGAAATGTGGCTGACTACAAGAGCAATTGAATTGGTGGAGAAACCACAAGAATAAACTTGTAGCTGGGCAGAACAAGGGCTAGTTAGTATATCTTGGTTTCTGAGTAATTAGTGAAATAGTTGAAAACTAAAGGATTGTTCCTTGTGTTCCTTTTCAAAGATGGCTGTTAATACTGTTTTACTAATTGATTTGGTCTTACAATGTTTACGAATTCCTAAATTCACTCATTGAATAGTAAGAATCACCCAGCCTGTCTGCTAATCATACAAATTGCTGAATCTAAACCTTGAATATTATGCAGGTCTGCAGTGTGATATCTAGGGATTGCTTCCAGGTGATCACATCTTTGGGGAAAGGGCGAGTGCCTGTTAATAGGCAAAAAAATAGAATTAGCTTATATTGGATACCTGTGTTTCTGAAAGATAAGGCATGGAATATACTGAACAGACCAAAGAGAAGTTCATTAAGTTTTCAGGGCTGTAATAAAGACAAATTATATTTTTAAGTTATATTTTATATATTTTAAGGAAAATTATTCCAACCAGTATTTTCTTACATTATCTACAAATAATGGTGAGTAGGCAGAATAATAATACTATTATTCTAGTTCCAGGTCATTAAACCAACCAGACAAGGGCACACAAGTGTCCACATAGCAAAATAGTCAAACAGCTATGAGACGGCTTGACAATAGAATCTATCTATGTAAAGTAGGGCAATTGAAACATTACTCCAAATTATCTTGAGCTATTTTATGGCTACCTGTAAATTCATGCTGTATTACAACAGACAATCTTATTACCCCACTATGTAATTTAAAATCAGAGTACATCTTCTTTGTGACAGTGCTTAAAGCTTCTCTCTAAACTAATGCTGTTTCCATAGCTTAGTTTGCCAATATTAATTTGGACGTACTCACTAAAATGTCCATTTATAAATTCCCACTTGATAAAAACTTACTTTATGTATTCACCAGAGTCTACAGTAGCCATGATACATGTCCTTCAGACAATGAAGCACTATTTACAGAATGTCAGTATGAGCCAGAACTGTTCGAAGTGCTTCACACATATTAACTATTTAATTTTTTAAAATTTTATTTAAAGGAAAAAAACAGTAAAAGGGTACAAGTAACACAGAATTTCCAAAAAAATAAACAGTAAGAAATCACTAGTTAATAGATTACATATTGTCATCTTAGAAATAGTTGTTCAAGTTACAGGATTACAGCATACAAAGTGGGCATTCAAACAGTGAGACTGCAAACAGTTGTGTTCAATGATTCAACACTTAGTAATATAAGGATACACACTTGCAGTTGTATCCTTTAGAGCACTTTCTTTTCCTCTCTTTTTTACAATAACAATTACACATTCTGGGTTTTATTACTCCCACAGTTCTTATTAATTGTTTTTTGGAAGAGAATAAAACCAAATGTGACAAAACAAAGCAGAGTCAGTCAAAACAAAGGATGGACATAGTACATGATGTAAAAACAGAATACAAGATAATCAACAATGGTTACCATAATGCTTCTTGCTATCTTAAAAAGAATTGCCTATACAGAATAAAATTGAACAAAACCAATAAAACCTAAACATTGGAGACATTACAGGACTTCAAAAGAAGATAATAGTCAAATCAGAATGTGCATCATAGTGAATCTTATTGCCTTCAAAGTACTTGCCTATACCCTCAAACTTGATACTATCAAACAAAACAGAATAGAGTAAAATCAATCAAAACAAGATGGTGAGAGCAATACAGAGCTTCAAATCAAGTTAATAGGAAATCAAAAAAGTTATTACAACATATCCTGCTAATTTTTAAAAAAATTTTTCCCTTAATTAAAAAAATAAAAAATAAATAAATTTTTAAAAAGGAGGGGAGATTGAGATAAAAGAGGATATAACAACATAACAATACAGATCAGAACACAACAATTTAGGCAACATAGTGTTTCACCACAAGATAACCTGAGTTAATAGTAGTTACCATAGTGTCTCTTTCCCTTGAAATATTTGAGTACAACTTCGTATACTACAGCATCAAACATATCAACACTGTGAAACCATTCAAGAGGATGAAAGTATTATAGAGTATTTAGAACCAGCTAACAGAAAACTAACAATGGTTTATATATTATCTCTTTGTCTATAAAAATTTTTGTTTATACTATCACACATAATAAAATCCAGTAAGATACAACATGATAAAACCAATGGAGACAGAAGAACAACAGTTTGATGGGACTTTAAAACAAGATGATATTAAATCAGCGCTAGATACTATGATGTCTTGTTTTCTTCAAAATAGCTGTTCATGCCATCACAGACAATAAAATCAAACAGTCCAGAATAAAACCTTTCAAATTAATGAGTGAAAACTTTATAAGGCTTCAAAGCCATATAATGGGGAATCATGATTACCACATACTTTTATGTATTTGTCTCATTTCTTACACTAGGGAAACTATTCAGTATTCATACATGTGAATTTGATTTATTTCACTTATGCGTATGGTCTCAAGCTGCACCCATTTATTTATAAATATCTCAATGTGATCCTTCTTTATAGCTGAGTAGTACTCCATTGTATAAAAATACCACAATTTTTTTATCCATTCCACAGTTGATGGACACTTAGGTTGTTTCCAATATCTGGCTATTGAAAACTGTGCTGCTATAAACATGGGTGCACATATATCACTGTGGTATGATGCTTTCAGTTCTTCTGGGAATATGCCTAGAAGTGGGATAGCTGGAATAAATGGGATTTCCAGTCCCAACTTTTTGAGAAATCTCCAGACAGATCTCTACAAAGGCTGTACCAGTCTACACTCCCACCAACAGTACAGGAGAGTTCCTTTTTCCCCACAGCCTCTCCAGCATTTGTTGTTGACAGTTTTCTTGATCCTGGCTATTCTTTCAGGAGTGAGATGGAATCTCAGTGTGGTTTTAATTTGCATTTCTCTAATGAGCAATGATGCTGAACATTTTTTCATGTATTTATTTGCCACTTGTATTTCTTCATCTGAGAAGTGTATATTCATCTCAGATGCCCATTTTTGGATTGGATCTTTGAATTTTGGGGGTCTGACTTTTAAAATTCTTTATATGTTTTAGACAGAAGTCCTTTGTCTGAGGGAGAGTTCAGTGAGATTTTTCCCAGTGGGTTTTCTTTTCACTATGCTGGAGATTTCTTTTGACATGCAGAAACTTTTTAATAAGATGTGATCCCACTTATTGATTCTGGGTAGTATTTCCCATGTGGTTTGAGTCCTGTTCATGAATTCTCCACCTACTCCTATGTCTTCAAGGTTTTTACCCAATTTGTCTTCCAATAGATTTAGTGTTTCTGTTT